ATGCAGTTCCAAGTTTAAAATTTATTACGGAGTTCACAGCCAGCCCAGTTTTGAATCTTGATACCAGATGAGAGAGACACCTGGATTCCCAGCCTACAGGTCAGGCACAAAACCCCTCTCTGGGAAAGGGGAATAATCATGACTGTCTGGAGGCAAGTCCAAACCACAACTCTGAATCCTTGGCACAGAGAAGGATCAAACTTGGGCCCTTGTCAGGATAGTGGGACAAACCAACCCCTGCCCCAAACACTGAGCTAGTCATTGCCAAAGCACTCTGAATCCACACTGGAATCAATATAGGAGTCTTGAACCCAAAGCACGTCCAGCTCCACTTCCTCTCCTGTTTTTAGGACAAGCATGACTGGTTTTAATGAGGCACAGCCAATAGGCCTGGAAGAGAGAGTTTTGAATATATCATTTTGATTTTGGCCAGGAGAAGGGGTGCCGGGAGGGCTAGAAATCACACCTGGAACATTTAACAGAGTGTTTTACTCTCTTTTCACCACGTCATTAGAAAGAGTGAGAGCAGCGCCCACTGTCACAACACTTCTCATATGCCACCTGCTTCAAGCACACCACTATTCTAAGACCGTCGGCGTCACTGGGTGCCAGCCGAGTTTTCTGACAGCACCTTCCTTCTCAGCAAACAGGGTATACCTGCAATTGCAGCTGAGCAGGATCCCGTTCTCCAACTTTTTGCTAAACTGGAAACCAGTTTCTCCAGTTCAAACCCACAAGGAACTGAAGCAGTTTAACTCTTTCACAGATATTTTCCTGTTTATACTGTAGTGAAAAATATATTTTACCAGCTTCCTTAAAGAGAGGTCAACTTAATTCCTTGTGAGCAGTCAGGGCCCCTCACATCCACAACCACCAAAGCTTGCAAGTGCAGGGACTCCCTACCAAAAGCTGTGTGCAGCGCAGCCATTCTGAATCTGGCCATAAGAGGGAGATAAACCATTGCTTCATTTCTCAGTCTTGATGCCTCCTTACAAAACCCGAGCAGATACAGGACTCCAAAGCCTTTGCTGACTCCTGAGTCAATCAACTCAGCAAGGTGTGGAGAAAGCTCTCACAAAGTGTTTCCATGAACTCTGACTACACTTGTCTAATGCAAATCACACACCAGATACTGTGATTTCTCAAGAGGTTTAATAGTGGGAAACAACTATCAGTTAGGATTAGGGAGAGTTTGGGGAGAAAAGTGAACAGCCCAAGCCATCAGGGACAAAAACACAGACTTAGGATGTGAAACTGTAAATTCTGACCTACCCAAAGCTGTAATTCACTGATCTGGTCTGGTGTGAACAAGGTTGAGGCTAAAACACTAGCACTAGTGTCTGGGGCCCCAGATGGTAGTGCCACAAGATTGTATCAGAACCATAGCTTCAGTTCTTGCATTTTTGTGATTCAAGTGCCGAGCCCACATCAGTGCCAAGTCAGCCTCGGAAACATGACTGGGCAGTGACCAGCCCAGCAATAACTGCCCTCGTCTAGACGCTGTCAGAAGCCACGGTGCAGAGAAATGCGCTACCTCAGCCATCAGACTGGGAGCTGGCTCCACCGAAAATTCCCTCCAGCACTGGGACAAGCCCAAGGAAAGGCACCGTAGCAGAACGTAACAAGTCCAACCCACCTGTCCAGGCTAAAGGAGTGTGAGGACCTCGCGTTTCACCGATTTCATCTTGCTGACTCTCATATGAGGAAATCGGTGCCTTTTGCACTAGTGTCTTTATAACAGATACCTGTTCATTTGGAAAAATAGAAAAGAAAATCCCCAAACCAGTTCAGGTCTCGGCCTTACAAAGAATTCACGTAAGGACAAATAGCTGCAGTTCGCTTTGCAGGGTTGGGGCCTTTTGGAAGTCCAAGCAACTTCATACAGTAAATGCATCCATTTTGGAAGGGATTTGTAGCAGAAATAGAAAACCATGACATCTGTGAGTTTCATATTTCATTGCAACTCTGCAAAAGGGAGATAAAACAATCCTGCTTCAGAGAACACTCATAAAAGTTCACATTTTCTACAAGGGGGCAGCACAACTGTAGCAAAAAAAGAAAATCCAGCCATAACGCTTCCCCCACAGCACTCCCTGCGAGACACCAACGCATTAATCAACCCCTTCCATCTCCTCACATAACAGCATTCACCTCCAACAACTCCTCCTGCTAAGACTTAGTCCTCCAGGTAGTTATCTCCAACTTCTACCATCAAAACACAGCAAAACAAGGAATGCCTCAACTAAGACAACCAGCCTCAGAGGTCACCAACACCAGCTCCTAAGCTGGTGTCCTCCAACACCAGCCTGAGCTCCATACCTTCCACTTGCTGGCTTCTCCAACCAGCAAAAACCACACTACGAATGCAAGACCTTGCAAAAAGCACCCTGCCAACATAAGACCTCCTAAGGAAACCCAAATAAAGTCCAGTTCAACCTTACCTTGCTCTGGAGAGCCATCCACTCTACTCACCCCGGGCTCTAGCGCACTCTCTGCTCCCCATCTGGCTCAGCCCCAGCTGCAGGGGCTCTGCCAAGCAATTGAGCTCACCTGCACCCAGGGCACACCTGAGCCATTGCCTTCCCTCCCCACCTCAACTTCCTCCCAAGGGAAAAGCTACACTGCTTCGCCTGCAAAATGTGGTAACTAGGTATCTCCAACCCTGCCTGAATTTCTGCTTCCTACAGGGGAGCCTGGATGTAGCCATAATCCAACGCAAAAGCCCACCTTTCCCTTAACAGCGTGGAAAAGTGGGATTTGGCAGCTGCTGACCCCACAGGTGATACCTGACAGTTCCAGCTCACCACCAGCTTGAGCACACAGAATTGGCAGGTCCTCAAGGCTGATACTGCTCTCCAAAATATCCCACCCTCTTCCTCCAGGGATGTCGTGAAGGTGCAAGGGGTGGGGGGTGTCCGGCAGCCACCCTCAGCAGATTATTATAGGGACAGATTTCTTTCCCCTTTTTAAACAAGACTAAGCTCAGCACCATTTCTCTGGGGTACCAGGAGGGTACCAGGGCAGCCAGGATGTCGCTCCATCTTGAACAGATTTACATCAGCCTCCCCGACCCCCATCGCTGTTGGAGAGCTGCAGGGGTCCGACACCCACCCCAGGTCCAAAGTGCACAGGGAGGGGGTTGCTGAGGCAACAGCACGCCTTATTTAACCGTTATTTAACCCATCTCGCCCTCCCCCCCGCCCGCCACTGCCGCCGTGCACG